TTCCAATTGTCAAAAATATGTAAGCGAGTGTGTTTGGTTGTTAAAACCTTATAAATAATCTTGATCTTGATCTATAACGTGAGATGGGCGCCACCACGTTTATTTGTGCCACAGTTCAGAGAGTCCTGTCAGTCATCATCAGTTTCTCCCGAAATAAATGCAAGAAAGTGGCCGGTGAGAAGAATAGAGTAAACTTTATAGTCACTTCCCCTATGTTTGTCTGATATGAATAACACACGTTGGCAAATTATATTTGAATAGATTGCTGCTTCCACAGATATCGTGTGTATTTTACAAACTCCAAATGTATTGTTTTACTAGTGCTTATGTGAATTTCAATGTCTGAAACCTAAAATTAACATTATAAGGTTGACAACACTGAATATTTTTGATATACAACAGCTCTGAGCTCATCTGTCTCTGGCTCAGTGCCAACCAATGCGCGAATCTGGCAGTGATGTCACGATCACTGAACATTATACATCCCATATGGGACCGTACCGCTGAGGTTAAACATTTTATTTGTAACCATGAATACAAAAATCAAACTGAGGGGGCACAAATCAGATCTGAGGGGGCAATGCCCCCTTTTGCCTGCTTGTGGCGTGTGTGTGTGCGCGCGTGTGTGACTTCCGTCGCCCTCTTTTCTCATTTCATCCTTTGTTTCATTTCTTCTCATTTTGTCTTGTTTGTTATCTTATCTTTTCTTTTCACTCATTTGTCTTGCTTCTCTTCCTTCTCATGAGGTCTCTTCTCTTAATTGCAGATTAATTTTTCGGTAGTCTTTTATTTTACAGTGGCCATGTTACACATTACATGTAGTTACTATAGTATTAACTATAAATTATGCATGATTACTGTGTGTGTTTCATCCTCATGATATGTTCTGTTACATTTTTCCTTAATTTTATTGTTAGAAAACCTCTTTTTATATCACTTCAGCTGACCCCATTTTATAACCCTGAGTGGGAATGCGGAGGGAGCTGTGCCTGCATATGGCACACAGACCCAACCCGATGTCAGAGCTCAAAAATAACCCTCTTGACTTCAATTAACACGTCAAAAGTTCAAACATTCATCAATCGACATATTACATGGACATTTTCATCCCCGGAGGATAACCAAAGTCAAAGGTGACACCGGCAGGAGGGGTCAAGGTCAAAGGTAGGGTACGACTTGGGCGTGGCAAAAAAAGGTCACCATCAATTATAGGGTCATAAATCATTTTGCCATGCTGTATCATAACAATACTCTGGACATTATTTAAATCAAATTCTATACTTTTTCAAACTGCGTACGAACCCGTCAGTGCCTTACACAGAGCAGAGCATTTTAAAAATGAAGCGTGTACATTTTATAATTTCCTTTAAATATGCATTCTCAATTGCAGTAGTTGTACAGTACCGTCATTGGACGCATTTACTATTCGACCACCATCCACAGAGTCCATGACTGTCTGTCATGACTAGTGCTGCCGCGATTAGTCGACTTAGTCGACGTAATCGACCATGCAAATTAGTCGACGGCAATTTTTTTAGTCAACGTGTCTTTTTAAAATGTATTTTTACAGCCTATTTATTTTTGGTCTCCCATCTCTAACGGCTCACTGTAATTCACCTCTACATGCCAGTCTGTGCGGTGTGCGCGCCCTGCTGGTTAATATGCTATCCTCTTCCTTCCACTTCTTTGATATGAAAAATTGCGGAGGCAGGAGACGGTGCTTTCACTCTAGGCTCGTTTGCTGCGGTCCAAGCCCGAGTGCGATTGTTCCCGGCGCCCCCGAAACCTTGTGTGTTTGCGTGCATCTTACACGGAAATAAAAATAAAAATGCACACAACGAAATGACAAACAATGTTTTTTTTAATATATATTAGTCGTTTAGATTAGCCGACTAATCGAAAAATGAGTCGTTAGAAAATGAGTCGTTATTGGCAGCGCTAGTCATGACATCACCTATGTTGCTAACATAATTATTCACTATTCAGCTAAAAAGGTTGCAGGTCAAGGATTGGTCCATGAACTACCAGTAGTGTCTTTGAGCACGGTCTCACATAGAAAAACTCTTGTCTATTGGCATTACATCTGGTCCAGTTTTTCAGACTATTCTGGCCAAGAACCGCCTACTCAGACCGTCTGGCCGACATGCAAATCAATAAAGCAGTTTGTTTTGTTTTTAAATGTCGTTTTGTGGTGTGAAAAAATTCCCATGGCTGTCTACAAACAGAACACAAAGCTTCAAACTAAACTCTGATTTCTGGATAGATACTAGGGGTGGGGTGGGGTGTGGGGGTATTTTTAGATGCATCACGATGCGGGTGACAAATGTCAAATATCGTTTTTCTAAATGTTAATTGATAACGTTATGTTGACGGAATGCAAAAGGCATCTGGACAGTCTGTGGCGTGCAGCTGTGCACATAATAACAGAGACACATGATGGTTGAGCGAGAAATCCAACCGGCAGCCTCTGCATTAAAATCTAGCAAAACTTTGGCTATGAAGTTAAAGGGAAAAAGGACCTGGACAAGAACCACACTTTATGCAAGTAGAGCTCCAGATGAGTGACGAGGTTACACTGGTGCGATCACCACGTTGTGCAATTGAAAAGAGCTGCTACTCTTGGAGAATTTTCATTTGTCTCATACATGGGTCTGAATATAAAATGCTGTAATGTTAGAAAAAACTAAGCCTGAGAATATGGGCAGACAAAAACTATGGGCGGAGAGAACACCATGACAGAGAGTATGAGAAAGAAGGACAAAGACCGTCAGAACATCAATTATAGACTAGAAAAGTACCCAAAAAACTTGTATGAAGGACTTGCCACCAATAAGAATAGGACATGGCTGCAGGCGTTTCTAATCGTGGCGAGGTGACGAGGAGGAGCAAAAAGAAAAAGATGACTGTGTGAGTGCTAATTGGACACCTAACGATTAGAAAAAGGTATAAGAGCAGAGTGCTGGCCCTTGTGAAATCAGATGACCAGCTGGCATCTCACTTTCTTGAACTGCTCAATAAAGTTACTCTTCTGAGACCCGAACCAAAGATCGAGAATTTGCCAGAACACAGCCTCTGTATTAAAATCTAGCGTAACTTTGGCTATAAAGTTGAAGGGAAAAAGGACCTGGACAAGAGCCACACTTTATGCAAGTAGGGCTCCAGATGGGTGACAAGAGGTTACACTGGTGCGATCACCACGTTGTGCAATTGAAAAGAGCTGCAACTTCTGTTACGTATGATGAACATCAAACGAAACGAAACTGCGCTAATCGTCTGAAACGTTCCGAGCAGCGCGAGCTCAGAACGGGTTTACTCGTAGGCCGATCTCAAACACGCAACACTTATTACACAGCGTTCCAGACCTAAACGCTACTGAGCAGCTGAGGGGCGTCCTCAACCAGAAGGTGAAGAAGCGCCATGTGTCTAACATCCAGCAGCTCCATGATATCATTATGGAGGAGTGGAAGAGTGTCCCAGCAACAACCTGTGCGGCTCCGGTGAACGCCATGCCCAGGAGGATTAAGGCAGTGCTACTGCTAGATAACAATGGTGCTCTCACATAATATTGACACAGTTGAGACATGTTCACTAAAGGCCTGTTCACACCGGGACGAATTTCGCACGCGTCATTTGCCAACGTTTAACGCGTCGTGACTAAACAAAGGGCACCAATGTGAGCATTCACACCAACGCGTAAAACGCCATGCGTAAAAGCATCATTTTTTTAAAAACGCCTCGGGTTCGTTTTTTTTGTTTGACACGCCGCGTCAAAAACTATCCAACCAATGAGATTGCCGCTTTTGCTCACATGTTTGGAGCTTCTGAAGTTACAGTAAAACACAACATGGGGGCGCTCAAACAGAAAACGGTCTTGCCGAGCACACATATGCAACGGCAAAGAAGATCTAGGCGTCGCCGTCTACACAGCCAGGAAGAAATAAGACGAGGAAGATGCAAGGCAAGATGAATGTAGAGCTGCTGTTCTCATTGGTGCTTGAACATAAAGAACTATATGACAAACGCGACAGGGACTACAAACATCTTGAGAAAAGATAAACGTTATGGAGTGGTATCGCATGGCAAATGGGCACCATCTAATGTCAGGGAATGAATTTGCATGTTCACTCGGCTTATCGTCAGCGAAAATCGCTTGGGTGTGAACATAAAAAACGCGTTGAAAAATGCTGACGAATAACGCGCGCCGATATTCGTCCTGGTGTGTATGGGCCTTTAGGGTGTACTCTTTTGTTGCCACACAGCCACTATTGTCAGAGGACAGTAAATATATAAATTTATATTCAAGCAGCACACTGACTACTTTAATTTCTATAGTATTGTCCCTTGAAAAGATATAATAAAATGTTTGCTGAAATGTGAGGGGTGTACTCACGTTCGTGAGATCCTGTAAATATCAGTCATTACTGTATATCGTCCAATAATATCTTTGTGAGATGATTATCAAATGCTTAGTTTTATGAATAAAGCTCTTTAGTTTTAAGACATATATTGTAATGTAATACAATGATGAATTAGAGATGAAGAAACAAACCTTCCTCAAAAGCCTGATGATCATAGAGACTCACATTTAAACATGATACATGATACGTAAGGATACTCAAGTAAACCTAAGTTGTTTCAGTCCAGTTCATCTTGAAATATTACTAAAAATATATAAGTTCTTTATAAAAATCAGTATCAAATCAAGTGAACTACAAGCTGAAGGTGGACGTTTTCACAATTATACTAAAATGCCTTTAACTTGCTAAAAAAGTATAAACAAACAATCAGACGACAGAAGGCATGTAGTGGATTGTGTGTGATGTTGGTAGTTTCATGCTGTAATTTTGACTTAATTTTTAGGCCTTAGAATTTTTCTATATCAATAAAAATCCAGTAGGCTTTATATGGTTAACGTTTAGTTTTCAAGAGTCAAATAATCATGTTTATTAAACTAATGTGGTTCTGTATGTTTAAACAAACAACACGCTGTCGTTTCTTACCCCCACATGGTCGAGGCTCCCGTATAATGTGTTTGAGCAGCCAGTTTAGCCCCTCATTCATAATCAAACCCCCAAAAAAAGAGATCTGAGAGAGAGAGAGAGAGAGAGAGAGAGAGAAAACAAACACCAAGGAATAAAAATGGAGAACAAGTTGGTATGTTGTTTGGGATTTGACCCAATACCCTGCTGGTTTGTGACATCATGTGACTCACCGTATGTAGTTCTCTCTTAAAGACGATCAGAGTGACGAATCCGACGAGGATCGCTATGGGCAGCAGGCTCATACAGGCCAATACCTGGCCCGTCAGATCACCTGGACAAACAAACAATTTAGAGACCTTCTTTGCACACTGAGCGTCAAAACAAACTGTTCAGAATAGTGCATTGCCTTACAACTCTGCAGAATGCAATCTCAATAGACATATACACAAATTTGGATTAAAATGTTTATTTCAGAGATGATAAATTGAAAACTGGACACTACTCAACTAAATACTAGGGTTTATGCTGTAAACATGATTAAATTTGACAGGAAATGAAATTTCACCCTATTAAATGCATGTTATAGATCTTAGTGTGAACAATTCATCCGTGTATGCATACGTTTAATTTTTTTCCTCCATTGTAACCTCAATGTTTAATCAAAACGTCATAACTCAATTTTTCAGTGAAAATGACACACTTACCAACTCAGACACCATGGGAGTGCAAGCTTGTGTTCATTTACTTTTAAAGGGATAGTTCACCCCAAAATTAACATTTTGTCATTAATTACGTGTCCCTCACCCTCGTCGCTCCAAACCTGTAAGACCTTTCGTTAATCTTTGGAACACAAAAGAAGATCTTTTTAATAAAATCTGAGAGATTTCTGTCCCTCCATTGACAGCTATACAACTACCACTTTGACGCTTTAAAAAGTTCATAAAGAGATCATAATACTCATTCGTATGAATTGAGTGGTTTAGACAAATTCTGAAGAGACTCGATTGAGACTCGACTGAACTTAGGTTTTTATTCACATATAAAGATTGATCAGTGAACATAAACAGCTCAACCGAATTGCTTGAATCAAAGTGGTAGTTGCTTAGACTGTTGTTGATGAAGCGACAGAAATCTCGATTTCTTTACAAATATCTTCATTTGTGAGCAGACTGATCTCATGAAATGGCGTATGTATGACAAGCCAATTCGTATTTCCATTTTTGGCATGCTATCAACACGAATAATCGCTTTTCAGCGTGTTTATGAGGGCCGTCGATTTAACGTTATTGTATGACCTACCCCAACCCCATCCCTAAACCTACCCGTCAATGGGGATAATACCATTTATGAGTCTTCCCCTACCATCAAAGGAAAACATTATCGCTCCCCAGATGTAGATCTACATTTTGCTTCATTTCGCTCTGACATTCAAAATGCGTAGATAACATGCCACTTGACTAGAAAGTGGCATGTATGTTTACGCAAAAGTCATGATGCCATGTTGCACAAAATCTTACGGGTTTTGGAACTACATGAAGGTGAGCAACTAATGACAGAATGATCACTTTTGGGTGAAGAAGTGCATCCCCTTCTCAATATCCAATCAACGATCGATCATTTATTTTTTTTCTTTTAAAATAATCTGTTGTTAAACTCTGATGTCACAAAATGAAAGAAACTTTGTACTGCCGCTAGTTTCAATGCCAAAACATTATTATGCAAATGTATTTTAATGTACATATAGAATATTTAGCAGGGCATTTATACGGACATTCAACTTTGTGCTTACTAGATGCATTAAACTATTGTCTTTCATTCACTTTTAGATTACTCTGCATTAATAAGATATTACATTCCCAATAGTCAATTATAGTAATGACACAGAAATATTAAGTAATAATGGCTTTGCTTAACAACATTTTAGGTGTTAACACATCATGACATGTCAGATGTCTGAGAAAATTATTCACAAGTTGTAATTAATAGTTCAACGAGAATGTGAACGCTTTTTACGAGCCGGAATCTCGAAATTACTGTAATTTGACATGCTGTGAACTCCTTCAAATATGATTATTATATAAGCGAATGGCCAATTCTAATGAACCAAGTTATACACTAAAGGTTATTCCATGCACACCAAAGAAATGTATTTAAAAACAAATTCCTGAGCATAAAGCACTAAAAGTGGGACATTTCAAAACGGAGATAAAGCAAGCCTAAATGTGCAGTTAGGCAAATGCAATGTTGGCCATATATGCATGTTTGTGTGTTAAATTATTAACTGAATTATATATACACAACACTGCTTTTGCCAAACTGCATATTCAGTGTTACATTATCTCGTGCATACTTATGTTGGCAATTTCATATGCAACCTATGTGACACAGTTGTTTTCTTCATGTTCCGCATCATTTCTCTGAGTTTTGGCATTAGCATAGTATATTTCCGACTTGCTTTGACAATGTTCCAGCGTTCTGGGGTCAGTTTATTTATTTACAAACCCAGGGAGACCCTTACAGACGACAGGACCCAGAAAGGGTGTGATGCAACCGGGAATGAACTGGATTAACCCAAAAGAGCCACGAGTCTTACCAGAAACTTAACGTTACAACAGCAGCTGTGCTTGCATTAGACGCAGTCACCTGGCTATAAAGCTAGTATTGATCACTGGAATATCGAATCAACCTTGAATTAGATTATGTTTGATTAATAAGGCGTCAATATTCCTGAGAAACTGAATAAGGGTCTCCCAGTGTGGTGTACCAGTGAGCGTAGAGGAGCACAGCGCATGAGCACTAAACAAGCTCACTATTTGGCAGCAGGCTTTCCGTTCCGCGCAAAGCGAGCGCTCTATTTGGCAACCCAGCCCTGGCCGTGTCCATTCAGCTGCTCGATGTTCCACAGAAGTCGCGGCAGGCATAAAATGGCGTACGATGATATGAACGGCCTTGTGGGGAGAACAACGATTTAAAAATGTTCTTACCAGCCGGATACTCTACGTGGGTTAGGGATATCGACCGCCATCGAGGTGGTGCCGAGCACTGCTCTTCCGACGCCATCTTACCCGGACACCGGGCATCGGTCGTCGACCAATCACAATGAAACGCCCCAATGCGTTCGACCAATCAGATTCACCGGACGCTGCTACGACGCACGCCCATTCACCAAGCGCATTCTCAAAGGGAAAAAAAATCTGCACGGGAACAGTCGTCCAATCAGAGGCGGGTTGTTAAGAGGATGGGCCAATCCGAGGACGTTTGGCTGGACAAATGAAAAATGGATTTATTCAAATGAAAGAAGAAAATTAAGTGAATGAGGAAATCCTTTTCAATTGATATCAACTACTATGTGAAGGCGGCCGCCAGCGCCACACACTCACTCTGGCCCATGTTGATGTGCAAAATCTGAGGAAAAAGTCAAATATTCAGGGATTTTTTTACTTTAATTTTAGCATAAAAATAAACAAAATTTGTTCACTAAAGTCATTGATGATCCCTCAGGATTTTTCAATAGCATTTTTTAAAGAATATGGGTTTGTATTTGAGTAAAATAAGGTCTGTGGTTACCATTACTAATACACTTTCACATTTTTTCTACATCAATAAATAGCCTACACTCATACCACAAGGATGTGAGTTTACCACATTTAATTAATTGGACAACCCTTATAGTCCTTGTATTATGAATAGAAGTCTTATGGTTAATTCAAAGACTACTTAGAAAGGCTTTAAGCTTCAATAAAAAACTGCGGGAGTCTGATGCCTTTTCAGACACAAATAAATGAAAGGTTTTAAAAGCATTAGATCAAAGATCATATTCAATAGGTTTATTCTACTTAAATATGAAGTATATTTATGTCCAATTTATCTACTGACCACTTCAGTGGTCACTGTTTCAGAAGTGGTGAGTAGATAAATATGATATAAAATGTCAGTAATTACACATTTTAAAGACAGATAGAAAAAAAAGAAAGACTTTATGTTGGCTGGGGAAGGCAAAATGACAATACAGTTTTCAATAATAAACCAATACAATGATTGTAACGCCATTAATTTGTAAAAACAAAAAGGCATTTGAAGAACACAAATACACACACCAAGAAAAGATTCAAAGAAATAATAACACAAGTTGTTTCCACCACGTGATCGTCCTCTTTGGCCATAATTAGACACAATTCTAACATATTAGACATAAAACAGTGTTGTTGAATTATCTGTAGAATACAGCAGCTGTGGAGTAAAATAACAACCCCGTTCAATGAAAACATTCCCATACAATTACATACAGACACTGTCATTTCTCTTCTACTTGGTGCTTTGTTTGGGTTTAGTTATTATATGAGAAACAGCACATCTATTGGAGCAACCAGGAACTGTACCATAACTTAATATACAAATCAGAGCATGTTACTTTCAGTCAGTAACTCTTTTAGCACATTGGTGAATCTTTAATAATCACATCAAATATCGATAATCAATGCTTCCAAAATGGGACACAGACATGAGTGACTGTTTCAGAGTTTTAACAATTAAAAAGAATAGATGTAGCAGCGCAAGTCGAAACATTATTTCATGAGGCCTCTTCTTCCAAACCACAAGCAGCAGATTAAACAGTGTGTCGGAAAGTTTATTCATTAAAACCCCTTGGAATGATATGAAACATTTACCATCTCACTTATATCATCATCTGGCCTTGCTACACTAAGTCTTTCAAACAGGAAAATAAAATTAATCTTCCGTTTTTTTTAGAAAACCCTATTTGACAGTGTAATTTCAGGTGCACAATCTTGGTTATCCAATTAACAATAATTAATATCAATCAGAGGAATAAAGATGAGTTTGGCAAGAATAAATCTTTGCATCTTGCGAGTCACAAAAAAAGTACGATTTTAATTTAAGCCTTGCAGAGATCTAATAGCATGAGTTCACGTGTGTATTTAATAAAAACATATCCATAAAAACAGAGGCACAAGACAACAAACCACTCATAACCCTGATTCTGACCGATCAAGTATATCATTCAGTATCCTTTATACTATATATAAATAAGGTCTATTTTTATGAGGAAAAAAACGTAAAATAGCTTTTCATTTCAGTTTTCATATAAATTATCCATCTGTCCATAACAAGATTAAATTCAAAAGGACTACATACAGGGACTAAATACAAATGCACAACATAAGCTACTTAACAACTGCATATTTTGATAAAAATAGAGAAAATTAACATTTGTATCTTTTCTTTTATATACAAAGTGCAATACACCCAACACAGACGGGGCCAGTTTTAAATCAATACAAAGACAAAAGAAACACTATAACGATTTTAATATCTAATTTCTCGAATGCCTCCTGTGCACAATTAATGAACACGGTCAAGTTTTGTAAAGGCTCAGTGACTTTGAAGATTGTTTTAGACATTTCATGAGCATTCCTTTTAAAATGACCAGAGTAGGCCTTATCTAAAATTATTAACACTTTAATTAGCATGTTTTGTTTGACGATATTAAACGTTATTGCAGGTAAAATTTATAACCAAAAACCTGCAGGACACTAGCCCAATGTGTTTTGTTGTTTGACTTACTAACAAACTTTTCCATGGGTTGAATATAATTTAAACTTATTGACAGCATCTGTGCCATTGCCACAGAAAAAAAATAATTATACATGTAAAATAAATTAAATAGTATATGTCCCTCAAAAACAAACCAAAACAAATCCACTTTAATTGAAGTCTATGAGGTAAGTTTCATTATTCACCTCAACTTTAACTCAGTGAGTGTCAATGCATCTTTTTGTTTGTTTCCACAAAATGAAGTACTCGTTAAAATGATCATAATGGCACAGAAGCAGTTCGTAGAGTTACATAACTGGACCTGGAAGGCTTGAACTCATTAAAAAACAAAGTATAAAGTAGAGCCAGACCGATATATCGGTAGGCCGATATTAGGAATTTTCCAAAATATCGGTATCGGCAGTTATAACGGCCGATAAATGAATATTTCAACATTAAAATAAAAACCGACGAAACACGCTTCAACCATGTCATGAGTGTTGGAGTTGTATAGTTTGTCCACCAGAGGGCACTGTTCTGTTGCGACAATAAAAGAAACAAGTTTCTTTTTAAAATGTCGTTTCCTATTATTTTAGTTAAAACTTATACATTACAAATAACTAATGTTAGGGAAATCTGTTAATGTTTTGTTGCGCGTTTCTGAAAAAAGAAAAGAAAAAAATCGGCATATATAATGTCGACATATGTATAGGGTTGGGTATCGGGAATCGAGTATCGATTGGAACCGGGACTAACTTTTCGTTTTTCCCGGAATCGTTCAAAAGTTAAAATTTCGACTCCTAGTTTCGATATTCACAGTCCGCAGAGCGGAGGAAGAAACCGCTGAACAACACCAACGAAGAAGCGTCTACCGGAAGTGTTGGCATAACCGCACGAGTCGAACATGAGTACCTTACGTCGGCGGTCCAAGTGTGGCTTCACTTTTCTAAAAATAACGAAATCTCGGCAAAATGCAAAATTTGTGACAGAAGGAGTATTTCCTTCAGAAAGGATTATTTCCTTCCGAAAGACCGTTGGTTAACAAGGTTAGCTAAACTTTTTTGACCCTGCCTCTTAAAAGAATCGGAATTGAGAATCGTTAGGAACCGGAATCGAAATCGGAATCAGAATCGTTCAAATTCAAACGATACCCAACCCTACATATGCAATGTCAACCATTCCTCACATAATTGTGACTTGTCTGACCCAAAACCACTGATGAATTAAATTTATAATTCATACAACTATCTATATAATAGAAAAGTAGATAATCAGCAATTTTAGTCTACGAGCAGGTCTGAATATTGATGGGCAAAACAAGATGTGCAAATCAAGAATGATCATGAGGACAGAAAAAAATAACACACCAACAGCTACATTTCTTTAACAAAAATACGGCATCCGCTGTGATGAACACTGTGACATATTGTGAGAGTGAGAATAAACCAACAGCACAACAAACCACAAGGGCTACAGCAACTCTCAGAGGACACAAGTGAGCTCTGACCACTACATCCTGTTATAATGACGCACTTCCTGTGTGAGTCTCTCTTTAAAATCCCTCAAACACTCACTCTAATGATCTTAAATCTGTCTTGATTCTCCCTCTTCATTGTTTTCAGTGCAAGACTTTATTTGGCCATTGACACAAGCATAAACGCTCAACAACATGCGTTTATACTTCATAATCTGCAAACCGACCAGGCAAAAAGAAAAAGAAAAAAAAAGAAAGAGGCATCGGTTGATACAGTGTGGGTTTGATTGAGAAGATCTCAAAACAAGGCTGCACTGTTTGGCTAAAAGATGCTTTTTATTCAGTTCCTTCAGATCATGGTGAGTTTTTCAAAGGTTTCAGAAAGAATCGGTTTCCAAAGCATTCGTCGATCGAGGCGAATCCCAATTCTTAAAATTGAGGTGTCTATATAGCAGCGCTGGATATTCGGTGGCAAACGGAAATTTGCAAGGAAAGGCCTCAGATGAGTCTTTAGTGGTTTATCTCTCTAAATATTCGATGAAACGGGACTGTAGCAGTAACTCTCTCCAGTCATGCTGATGAAGAATAGATAAATGAGACCTAGGACCCGGGCTCTTTCAAAACTACATTAGGTCATCAAGCGTTCTGCGCCTCAGTCTTGCTGTTCACTGACGTCTGGAGGCCCGCTGGTGGCTTGGCAAGGGCTATTGGGTAGGCTTCCATTGGTCTCAGGTAGTCTGTCAATGCCCAGGTAACCCACCAGGATATCTGCCCGTCTGTGGGACAGACTGAGGATGTCTTCGGCCAGAGACGGGATGGACGTGAAACGCACCTTATCGTGGTCAAACATGTCCTTCAGGTACTGCACGATCTGTTGCTGTGGAGATCAAAGGAGAACGTGAAATGAACTTCGATATAATCAATATAATGTTTGAGTCGACTGGTGTTTTGCTGGATTTTAGTGGATATATAAAGTCAGTTCTCAAGTTCACAAAGGTGTACATCAACATATTACGCTAATGACAAACAAACAATACTGAATTTATTTATGTTTAACACTACTG